GTTCAAACTGTACATCTGTTCCTCTATTTTTGCTTTGCTAACTTTGCAAATAGAAAGAGAACATTAGTGTTCCTAGCGCGTGAGAGGCAAGCTTGAGAATGGGGGCAGAAAATTAACCTCTCTTATTAAAGATACGAGCTCACAAAGCTCTGGAAAAGCAGTCTTCCTTATCAAATAGATGAGCTCACGCAACTACAGAAAATTAGTCTCTCTTATTAAAAAGATGAGGTGACGAAAATCACAAAGATGAACCTTCCATATTAATAGGATAAATTCATGAAGCTTGGAGAACTTACGCCCTTTTTAAAGGGCAAGTTGAACATATTATAAGGGATTGATATAAAAATGCCCCATACTATAAGGGCCCAAGCTGAATGAAGCTCGTAATTGTTGTCCTCCGTATTAAAAGGGGTCAAAATCAACTTGTAAGATATACTTCCCTTTTTAAAAGGCGAGCTGAGTGAAGCTCGTAAAATATACTTTCCTTTTTAAAGGGCGAGTTAAGTGAAGCTCATAAAATATATTTTCCTTTTTAAGGGGCGAGCTGAGTAAAGCTCGTAAATATACTTCCTTTTTTAAAAGGTAAGCTCATTCAGCTTAAGAAAGCCTACTCCCTCAGCTCATGAAGTTCGGGCAAATCTGTTTCCTTATTAAAGGGTAAGAGAGGTCAACCAAAAAGAGGTCGCCTAACAAGGGTTAACCTAAAAAGAGAATGATTTCTGCCAAAGAGATGTCGGTTAAAAAACACTTTCACATTCTCGATGCTTGACAAGCAAGCACGAGAATGGGGGGCAACTGATGAGGATAAAAATAATAGGCAACTCAAAGTCAAAATAAGATAAGGGTAAGGGATTTATCCTCCCCAAAATCTCTATGGAATTATAAAAAATCTTTGGTTACCATGTGTAACAACAGTTACCATTCCTGTAAGAAGGAAACAATATTATCTTGGATCAGGGAGAATCTCGCTTCAATAACTACTACCATCAATACTTATATAAAAGAAATGATCAGTCAACCTAAAAAGGTACGCCATAAATTTTATATGTAATCCTTATTGGATATTAGATCGTCAAGTACTAACTTGACCGTCGGAGTGCACCCGGTCAGCACCACGCCAGTCATCACTTCTCTTGTTTTGTAGGAATCGCCACCGACTCCGGAACGTGTAAATTTTTGGCATCAACACCATGCTATGTTGTTTAACATGTATGAATTGCGGGCCATTTGATTGAGACTTGAAATCTAGAGAAATTAATTAGTTATTTGATTAATTTCTGTTTTTATTACATTATTGATTAAATCATGTATTTGACATTGATAATATGTTTAAAGCATGATTTTAGACTTATAATGGATTTATGAATTATGTTTCAATATTGGATTATATTGTTATAGCGTGTAACGAATCGCACACTGAAGATTCGACATGTGATGTTATTATAGCGCGTAACGAATCGCGCTCTGAAGATTCGACATTTGTCATACTATAGTAGTTGTGGATTTAGAGCATGTATTATGTGGCTTTAACCTACTTGTGCATGAAGGTAGTTTCGTGTACTATTTAATGCGTATATAAGTTGTTAACTTATTTATTTTTGGAGTCACTTGGGACATGGTTACTATGTTATGGCTAGAGTTTGGCTCTAGTGCGGGAGGTATGAGTTCTCTCCAATTAAGATAGTGCACACTTAGGGTGGTCTTCCCTGCGGGTTAATGCCCGGAATAGTCATTGAGGTCTCGGCAGAATTCCGAGCTTAGATGTCCAAGTATTCCATTATTTAATTTTACACTTATAGATTTCAAGTTGATAACTTTGAAAATCTATGTCTTGATGTGTGGTATTAGAAATTCTAATTATACTAAATTGTTATATTTAGGTGATCTCGTATTTTAGATTTCAAGTTGATAACTTTGAGAATCTATATCTAGTTGCTTTGTATAGCATGCTTTTATGTTGGTTAAATTGCATAGATGTTGTGATTCATGTTTGTTGTTCAAATGTAGCTTAGAAATGATCTTATAGATTCATTTGGAATATAAACGTTAGGTGGCATGACCCACTTTGTCGTTTTTGTATATTAGATTTCAAGTTGATAACTTTGAGAATCTATATATTGTTACTTGGTATAACATGCTTCTATGTTGGTTAAATTGCATAGATATTGTGATTGTGTTTTGTTGTTTAAATGTAGCTTAGGAAGGATCCTATAGATTCATTTGGAACATAGACATTAAGTGGTATTTCGCACTTTAGATTTCAAGTTGGTAACTTTGAGAATCTATATCATGTTGCTTTGTATAGCATGCTCATGTGGTTTGAATTGTACGGATGACGTGATTGATGCTATAAATGATCTATGGTAGCTTAGGATGTTCCCTGAGTCTCACCCTTGACGTAGATGTTAGGTGGCATGAGCCCTTTAGCATGTTTCACCTTAAGGTGATAATTGTAAAATGCTAGGTCGATGCATGTTCATTTCCTACGAGTAGCTGAGTAGCTTTATGTTACTCACCCCAAAGTTACTGGGGCATATTTCAGGTACAGGAATCAAGGTTGAGGTTCTCATTATGCTTGGATGATTTGAGGACTTGAAGGGTTCAATTCTTGTGAAGGTTGGCTTGAAAAGCCATTTGTAACCTTATATGTCAAATGTGTATATTTAGTTCTAAACTTATAATATGTGCCTAACCACACTTTTTGATTCTCATTTTATGTATATGACATGAGGCCAATGGTCAAACTTCTTTCGGAATTACATTTATGCCATGGATGTCAAACTTGCCTTTAATGAGAATATATGAAAAATCATACGTTTTAGTATGTTATTTTGCACCGGAGCGTATGCGTAAAATTCATCCATTGGCATTCATTTATCATGTATGAAGTGCTACCAAGGGCCAAATGGTCATTTGAAGTCATTTGTTGATTTTGGTTTTTCAAAGTTTCCATTTTAAGTTTATTTTCGCTTTTTTGGTCGTCGAGGGGTCAGATTTTGACTCGGCCATTTCCGGGAGTCGCGGACCATTCCCGCACGCTCAAAACCACTATTTATGTTTGCGTGAATGATCATTTTCATGGAAACCCCTTTCGTTTGTGTTTTGAGCCTCCTATGGACTCATTTCACTTTTTTGTTGAAAAACTCAGCTTAAGGGTATTTTGGGAATTTTCTTTGGGAAATAAATTCTGTTCTTGACTTTATCACATAGAAAATGTGATTTAAGGGGGAGTTTCTTAGCGACATTTTTCCAAAAAATGTCATCTTGATCTCGAAAACCGCACTCCAAACTCAATTTTCTGCTATTCTACTGTTTCTGCTGTTTAAGTTCAACTCTGGTCAAGTTGAACCGGTTCAAGAAGGTTGATCCAGTTCAAGATGTGTCTTTTGGTCCAGCATGGGTGTACTGCCCATGTTGAACCTGTTCAAGGAGGCTGAACCGGTTCAAGTCTTGCAGTTACTGTTGCAGGTTCAACTTTGACCTTCCAACTTTGAATTGTTGTAACTTCTTCATTTTAACTCCGAATTGGTCCATTCTTGAGTCTAAACTGACCGCGTCAAAATAAGATTTCCAATGGTATGAATTTTAGTTTCAGATTCTTTTCTTACCTCATGAGATCCTCGTTTTAGTGAGAGGGTGCCGGATTTGGTTCGAACCGGGATAGGGTTCTTCTGGGATTTCATTTCCTTTGGCCTTGAGACTTCATGTGAAGTTACCAAAGGATGTTTTTGAATGTTTTTGATCTCATTTGACTTGTTGGGATTTAAATTCCTTCCTTTTAGGACCATTTTACCCTTGGTCCTTCTTTTAGTAGGGTTTTGATACCCTTGTCTTCATTTTGCTTCCGCTGAGTCTCGAAATTCCTTGAAGGGCCATTCTTGTGTTTTAGGGATGATGTACATCTCTAAGGACTTGGTTTCGTTTTGCTTCCGCATTTTGGATCTGTTTCGGGTCATCACAGGACACACTGGGTTGAAAAATCCAGGGTCGTCACATTTAACTACATATTTTATAAAATTTTGATAATAGAAAAAGAAGGTTTCGGCTGCTTCTCTCAAACATTTTTTCTATTCATGTAATTTTTAGTTTCTTACTTAGCAACTAGGATATGAATCTATTTAAATTATTTGATTTAAAAAAGTAAATGCTCAAATACTTTTCATTATCCTAAAAAATGTAAATAATAATAATAAAAAAGTTAATAAAAAATTATAGTAGTAGTCATATCTGATACAATGCGGTGGCGGTTTATGGGTTTTTGGATAGGTGTGGTGTACTAATCCTACGTTATCGACCGGACAAGTCTCCAGTGGCTCTGAAGAGGCTCAAACTGGTGACCATTGGGGAACAAACCCAAAGTCTAACCAGCTGAGCTACCCTGCTGAGTTTCATCTATACTATGCTTGGTTAATTTCATTGTGTGAATGTGTGATGAGTTTGGACTGGCTTAGAATTTTTTTTTATTGTATTAGTGGAATTATTAATTTTATCTTTTGTGATGGTTTATTTTTATAGGTTTAATGCAAGAATATTAAATTGATAATATTAAAAAAATAATATGAATAAAAATAAAAAAGGTGGATACTTTTTGGGAACCGAATGAGTAGATGTTCCATATGTTGAAATTGAAAAATAATAAAATAAAATAAATAAATAACAACTAAAGTATGTCTATTATGCATCCAATTGATTACATCTCATTTCCTACATCTTTTGAAAATACAAATTCAGCACCAAAATATACAAATCATAAACAGTGAGAATCATTACCTTAAAATCTATTATCATTCTGAATGCCACTATTAGTTCCTGAAGTCAATTGTCTTCCACACATATCAACATGTCAAATTTTTGTCATTCTTGCAATGTCAAAACTTCTCCCTTTGTGTCTGTAAACTTGTAATTTCAATTCATTTCAGTAAGAGCATATTAAAGATTGCAATAATACACATGAATATCATGTCACTCTCTGTCATTATTAACAGTCTTTCCATGAATTTGTTTCATGAACATCAATAACACGAGAAATATGAACACTTAGCACAACTCAACTTGAATCAAGAGAGGGCAGAAACTGTGCAAGGGCATTGCATAAATCTTTCATTTTTCTTTTCTTCTATTTTTATATGCATTATGAAGTTCCTAACTTCCTATACTATGTTTTGACATAATTTTCTATATTTATAAGGGAGAAATTTGGAAAGAGAGAAAAAAAAAAAAAAAAAAGCATTATCAATGTATCATGCTAGTTCCAGGCCTAAGAACAGTCTCTCAGCTCATAAGAGAAACAGTCATGAAAACAACTCAAACAGCCACAGGATTGACTCCTTCCCTTATCCGTATCTTTGGACTTGTTCGTTAGACAATTGGTGCCTGGAGCGTCTGCGGTCATTTTACCTTTTGGATGTTCAATCTCAAATATCTTTGGTGGTGTGGTCTATGTTGAGCACATGATTTGGAGAAGGCTTGCCGGAAAGTCTGTCATTTGCATGAATTCGGGTCGATCTGCTGGGTCATCTGCCCAACAAGACTGCAGAAAGGGCGCAATATCCTTTGGGATGTTATCAATGCTAGTCCTTTGGTCCTGTAAGCAAAGATGAAATTCAACACAAAGCTCACAATTCAGTCAGTCAAACACCAAAAATTTGCTCTTATTTTCTTTAGCTCCAAAAACATCGCTTTTACACACTGAAACTGGCCAAAGAACAAGGTCCTTCATAACTCCAAATAAGGGCAAATTAGTACTCTGAAAGAAAGGTTTCATTGGAAGTTAATATAATATATGACTTGGCATTTCCAATTTTATTTGCAAGGGGGGTGATTAATATAGGGTTAAGATTTATTTATACAATGATATGTTTCCATTAATTTGCAGGATATTAGGAAATGCAATGTCATAGCAATACAAAGAGCTTATATACAATGGTTAGACAGTAAAAAGAATAAAAACTAAAGGACGTACAGTAGCTGTAGCATATGCCACCATTATGTTATTCCTCCCCTTGTATGGAGTGATGTTTGTCAGCAACTCCCACAGAACCATTGAAAAGCTGTAGACATCCACCTTATGATCATAGTGCTTCTTCACCCCCAGTTTCAGTGGGTTTATGCTGAACAACTGATTTAAATAAAATGTAAGGCTCAGACTAAAATTTAAGGCAATCTAACCAGAAAGAGTACCTTAGGAGCCATCCATCAGTAAGTACCGGCTTCTGTTGTCATATCTCCTTCTATTTCATCCCTTGCTAACCCAAAGTCGGCTAGCTTGATTTTCTTGATGTCATCTGTGAGAAGTATACTGTAACACCCCTAATTTTAAAAAGGATATTTAATTTTAAAAAGGATTTTCCTGGTATTTAATGGTATTTAATTTATTATTTAAGTGCATTTTATTTGATTATGTGTCATTATTTTTTTTTATTAGGTGCTTAATTATTTCTTTTGTGGTGATTTAATTTATTTAAATGATATTTATTTTTAGTTATTTGATTGGCATTAATGGTTTAAGTGTAATTGGTTTAGTTATTTGATTGGAATTACTTGTTAGTGTTTTAATTATTTAATTGGCATTAATGATTTAAGTGTAATTGGTTTAATTATTCTATGTGTGTCTTATTTTATGTGTGTCTTATTTGATTTAATTGGGTTTACTAATTATTATTTTGTTCAATTAGATTATTTGTTAAGTATTTAATGGTGAATAGGGTAATTAGGTAAATACATCTAACTAGGGTTTTAATTACAGTATAAATTAGGATTTTATATTTTAGCCGTCGTAGGTTTCTACGTTAATTGGATGGGCCGGTTAGGATTGTGAGTTGGACTTAAATGAACCTAGGGTTTAGGAAAACTCTATAAGTATAAGGTAGACGTCTGTGTAGGGTTTTTTTAAACAAAGCACACGTTTTGTGGAAGTGGAGAAGGAAAAACGTAAACAAAGCACACGTTTTGTGGAAGTGGAGAAGGAAAAACGCAGTTTTTCACATTCTGCCAAGGTTTGATCAAAGCTTCGATCCTGCTTCGTCCGTGGTCCGATCGAGCTAAATTTTGGAGGAGAGGTTCACGACTCAGTGACGCACAATCTGAATGGTGGAGATCAGAGTTTGACCTCGGGAATAGTGATTCGTACTCGTGAACAGTAACCCGATCGCACAGGTTTTTTCTATTCTGCCCAGATTTCATCAAACATCCGATCCTGCTCTGTCCGTGGTCCGATTGAGCTGAATTTTGGAGGAGAGGTTCATGACTCAGTGACGCACAATCTGAACGGTGGAGATCAGAGTTTGACCTCGGGAACAGTGATTCGTACTCGTGAACAGTAACTGGGTCGCACAGGTTTTTTTTTTCCATTCTGCCCAGATTTCATCAAACATCCGATTCCGCTTCGTCCGTGGTCCGATCGAGCTGAAATTTGGAGGATAGGTTCATGACTCAGTGTCGCACAATCTGAACGGTGGAAATCAAATTTTGAGTTCGGGAATAGTGTTTCGTACCCGTGAACAGTAACCGAGTTTTGGAACTCGCCAGGATTTTTTTAAGAAGACGACGTTGAAACTTTGAACAAAAGTTTCTGAGGCAAGATTCTATCCTTACTCTTTCCCTTAGGCTTCATACTCTTTACACTCTTAAATGATTCCAGGATTAATGAAGATTAAACCAAACTAAAATGATATCTGTTTTGCTATGAAACTGATTGTTACAGTAGTGTTGTATGCTTGTTCAACCTAGACTAAGTATGTTTGTGGATGCATTGTGGTTCTGTGGTTCACGTTTTTCCTTACCACTGCTAGTATAAATTATTGGAATGATGGGTCTAGATGATAGCTATCTTAACTTCTGTAATAGCAACTGTTGGAAATTAAATACTAGGAGGATTTGAGTTTAACACTAGATCGATTTTGTGGAACACTATAATTTGAGCATGTCTACATACATACTGTGAATATTGTTTTGATGCTTACATTATTACAGTTAGTATCAGCTGTGGAGGTTAGGATTTTGTGATACATACCCTACATATCTGTATGTCATTTGTAAGGTGTTAAATGGAAGTTTTAATTAATTCTGTCTTTATATCAGACTAAAGGGAACAACTTAAATTGGGCATGTATATGTTGTTGTTGTGACCCTGTTTATCAATGCTTATTTTATCACTGCTAACATTGAATGTTGGATGTTGGAATTTAGTTGATATATACTTGATTTATTGGTATTATTGACTACTGGAGGATTGGAAAGTAGGCACCGGTATGGGACGGTGGCATACTAAGGATGGGTTTGGTTTTTAAATCAATACCATTACCCACCTACTTGGAATAAGAATGGGATTAACTAAAAGTTAAGTCCCGTGGATTTGTATTGTCATGGCAACTACTTGTTGAGCGGCAATACCAGGGATTTTGGATGGATTTTATATATGTACTGTTATGGTGCCTCGGTATGAGCTTGAGCCTCAGGACCGATGGTTAGGGAGCGTATATGCATCGGGATGTGTAGCTGGCTACGATGGTTGGAGGTGTACCCTGTTTAGGTATAGGTACATATGCCCACTTCGTGTGCGTTTTAGCATGTTACCTCTATTCAGGTTGAGACCGGCCTGTAGTCCAATGAGAGTCATTTAGTGTGACTATATATATATTTACGGACTATTAGCTATTGTTGAATTGTTTAGGATGTACATGCGTATCGGGCCTCTGTTTGGATTGTAGTAGTATAGAACTTGTGCGTGGGCCTGACCCACTTCTATTTTTCAGGTACACGACAGTTCCAGGCTTAGACGTGTTCATGCTGAGCAGAGGTCTCTATTCACTCTTCCGACGATGTAGGGCTCTCTCTATAGTTTTATTTCTGGACGTTTATTACATTTGTTCTATCTTCCGTTTGGATGTTTAATAGGGGTCCACTAGAGATGGATTCCCAAGTTGTAAACTGATGGAGTTTGGGTTTGATGGATTTTAATAATTATAATATTTTGCGGATTTTATTTTTAGTTCCTTCCAGCTTTAATTTCATTTCTTATTTTATTTTGTATTCCGTGTTCATTATAAAATATTAATTGTTTGATATTCCCTCGGGTTTGGGCATGAGCCTGATCAACCCGTGTCTCGGATCTGAGAGGTATCACATATATTGCCTACAATAAATATGAATGATTCTACGTTCAACCTTGCCATCAATTATTTAAAAATTTATGTAAAATGAGTTATTCATTTCAAATAAAAGTAAACAAACTGTAACAGTGCCCCCGTCAAAAAAACATAAAATCCAAATAGTTCATCATAATGTGACAACTAGTTTAACTCACACTCAGAGGATGTGTAGCTGCATGTCAACCAAAAATAAAGGTCACTTTGGGCACTTTTGTGTGTGTGTGCACGCGCAAGTTTGTGTTGTGAAATGATAAGGATGCCTCTCTCTACCGTTTTGTGGTACTCCATATATGAGCCAAATGGATTATAAGATCATGAACAGGGAAAAATAAGAACCAAATTGTTTTTCATACTTAAATCATATCAATCCTAACCAGAAAACCCAGTAATGAAACAAATTTCAAAGACCAATTAAACTATACCGGGCTTCAAATCACGGTGAATGATTCCATTTGCATGCAAATATTCCATTGCTCTAGAAATTCCCAATGCAAAATTTATAGAGAGCTTCAGATCTGGACAACTAGGACGGATGCTCCACAAGTACTTCTAAAGTATACCACCTCTCATAAGCTCTGTTATTATCATCATTGTTGGTTCGAAATGGGCACCAATGAACTGTTTCACTAAAACATCTCATCTTTGTAAATAAAGGAAGGAACATGGATACTTTCAAACAATAAATAGTCCTTGTATTAAGTTAAGAGAAGAGTGGAGATAAAAGTTGGAAATGTGTACATATTAACAATAATCGTGCCTACTTTCTGGACTTAGACCACTAAATGCATTTAGAAATGAATAATAGCAAAAATATTTAAAAAAAAATAAGTAGCTGTTAAAACAGAATGGGCAACATCAACTTATTCTCAATGCAGCTTTTGTATACAGTTGTCATTGTCATAAAAATTCAGACCTTAATCAAGCTATTTTGAGGTCTGCCACACATATCCCACCAATTTTCAAAATTTGGGGCTACATTTAAGATCAATTTGTACTCGTATTTTGTTTTAGTAAAATGACTTAATAGAGATAGTTAACACTTAACAATTAACTGGATAAGAAAAGTAACAACCAAAACAACTTACTGAGGTTCACTGGAAACAATTTGCTCACATTGGATGAATGAATAGTAGTAACCTAAAAAGGAGATAGTCTAACACCATCACAAACCCGGCACCTTTTTTTGCGTGTGTGTGTGTTGGGGGGTGGGGGGGTGGTGGTGGTTGTTGTGGGGCAGGTCCATACACTAAACAGTACTCTCCTTAGCTTTCATCCTTTCTAACAGCTTATTCATGATGCCTGTGGTCAGGCCAGGAATACTAGTAATGAAATATGGAGCGCTTTCAGGTGTCAATAATAGGAACTGACATGTTACTTATCAAAAAAATAATAATAATAGGAACTGACATGTTAAGAGTATTTTGAAGATTACTACAACCAAGGCATGAACCAAAGTACAAACTCTAAATTAACAGCAGCAAGATATGCATGTCATACTAAATTGTAAGCGATGGTAACTTCAATGACAGACAATAATGATTGAAGTTCAAGCATCTAATGTCACACTAAATACTTGCAGAGATATAATTAATATTTTTAATGAAAGTCATCATAAAATTAATGACCAGTTCTTGTAGAGGATATAAATAGTAGGATATAAATTTTAATAATTGAAATTATTTCTCCCTTCATCTTTTCTAAGGTAGGGCAATTATGTGGCTGGCCTAATTTTGATGCCAACTAATATTCGGTTGATAGTCAGAATAAGCTTCGGTAAAAATTATTATATCACAATAGATCTACATAGGCATGGATAAGATATATATAGGCAAGATATATCACAGAAGTGTTGATATCTGTGGCCATGCCTTTCAGAGAGCTAAACAAGATGAGCTACAAACAACTCTGAAGCAGCAGATCTAAGAATAGGTAAATTGGAATGACCTAACCTGATCTGAATCTACGAGAACAAGGTTTAAACTGGCAGGGTTCACGAGCACAAGAAAAGAAATGTAATGCTTTCTGTCATTTTGTAATTCAGAACTTTTACACTCAAGAAGTGAAGCAGCTCACTAGTAGTATTTGGGATACTTTATGGTAGTTAAGAATTGCCAGATGTTAACATCAGAGGCAACCTAACAATGAGGGAACCTAGATGAATAATTGTGCATTTGTTTACTATTTGGGTAATCATTACTGGTTGGTTTACCTTCTCAAAAATGCTTTACAAAAAACTCATTGAACTTATTTCAGAAATTAGTATAATTACCCAATCAATCCATACAATAAGATTGCATTATCCACGTGAAAATGAATGATAAACCAAAGTTATGCAAAGAAGAAAAATGGAAAAAATAAAAGCCATATATACAAATGTGGAAGTATATATGCGTGATAAATACACATAAATGTATGAGGAAAACAAAAAAGAAAAAAGTAAACTACTTTCAAGATATTCTCACTTCAACTTGTTTTTATTTTATGGTGCACGGCATTAGTGATGGAGCCAGAAAATTTTTCTTCGAGAGGGGGCGATCTTGAACAACGATAGGATAAAAAAAAATTCAACTACCATAAATAGAAGAACTTTAACATTAATTGATATTTTCATTGTGTACATTTAAAATTGTTGTTAGCGAGTTTTCATATTTTGAAACATTGTATAATAGTTTAAGAACAATAACTCCCAATTACGATCTTAAAAAGAGAAAGTCGATGTTGGGGCGTAGAAGCCGAGAGAGTGCGAAAATAAGAGAGGGAGGGTCATGATTGTGAAGATTAAAATTTCAATGGGGGTGGATTTATATATGATGGGTTTTAGTAAATATTTTGTGAGGTCATTATTAAGATTTTAACAAAACTATAGGGATAAAATGTAAACTAAAACGCCCCCACTGTCATAAGGTGGCTCTGTGCCTGCATGGCATACCTTCACAATATTTTCATGCTTGACTCTGGATAGCATAAGAACCTCCCTCTCAAATTTTCCTTTCCGTTCTGGACTCACGGCTGATGTTCTGTCTGGCTGTATCACTTTTATCGCAACAGGCTTGGATTTATAGCTGTAAAATGTAATCCAATAACTCTTGTTGTTAGAATATTCAGAAAACATAAATATCTTCAATAGAATCATGAGGCTACAAGCCATAAATAAATAAATAAAATGACCTCAAAAACATGTAAACATCGACAATTTATGTATGTCCAGTAACCCCTAAATACAAGCAATAATGCATAAGGCACGTCTCTTAGTCAACTATTGATGCATTTGGACAATTTTTCACACAGCATAGATTTTTTCTCAACGGTATGTTGGACAGTTAATGAAGACTGATACGTATTAACATAAGAGAAGTGTAGAACAACAGTAACATGCATGTTTATGACAAATCATGTATTTCTTTTTCTTTTCTTTCCTTTTTTATTCCTTTTGTTGGCAAGTGAGGAAAAAAAAAAGAAACACACGTCCCCAACTTAGAAACTTTTACAAATAAAACCACATTGAACTGTGTCTCGTGTATACTTTTTAAGCATGTGCTACATTAGCCACCATAAATCCGTGTGAAAAAACAAAGGAGTGTCAGCATAAGAATGCGAAAAATTTCGTTGACCAATATAGAATCTAAGAATACAATAACAAAATGGAACACAACTAACAGGTTTTAACTTCAGTTAGTGTAAGAAACAAAAGACTATTACAAACATAGTTCATTATCTTTCACCATTTGTCAAATGTGGCAAACCATGGTGCATAAAGGGACTTTTTTTGCTCTCCGTGACATCGTAAATATCATTTAATTACTTGTCCAGCTGCTCAAATTTGATGGAAAATCGGTTCAAATCATTTCAACAGAAACTTAACCCAACTACACATAATTTTTTCCATTCTATCGAGAAACCTAAATTATTATTAACTAGAAAGCTGATATGCCTTTTTCTCATAGCCTTGATAAAGATGTTTATTGTCCTTCCCCTGAACTAGTAGCTCTAGGAGCAAGAACCATATTACTCCTTATTGGTTGCTAACATGCAAACCACCCCATTTTAGTTTCTCCTAGTTAGCACTAGAATTCACTATTTAAAAAAGCATCTCAATCCTAATTTTAGGTCTACTCATTTTATGAGCATGTCATAACCCAACTGCTAACCATTCAATTTTATAAGTCATGACCAAGATTTCCTCCCACAAAATCCCAAAATAATTCACTTTAACAAATATTCTATAGAAATTTTGTACTCCAATTCTCTCCATCCCAGTGGATAATCAATCTTTTTTTGGATACTTTAGCCATCTAATGTTCACTATGTGATACCCCTCGGATTTGAGACACGGGTTGATCAGGCCCAGGCCCAAACCCGAGGGATATCAAACAATTAATATGTTATAACGAACACAGAATACAAAATTGAATTTAAGAAATAAAGTTTAATAGCTGACGGAAACTAAATTAAATCCTTTAACAATAAATACTTAAATTCGGTAATCCAAAACCTCCATAAGTTTACAACTCGGGAATCCATCTCTAGTGGACCCCTAGTAAAAATCCCAAACTGAACGAGAAATAAATAACTGAAGATGAAATCCAAATCCAATAACTGGAAAGAAGTCCTACGTCGTCGGTAGAATAGAAAATCGTCTCTGCTCAGCCCGAACAAGCCCTAAGACTGGAACCGTCCGATTCCTGCAAAATGATAAGTGGGTCAGGCCCACTAGCAAGTTCTATACTACTACAACCCAAGCAGAGACCCGATACGCATGTACATCCTAACCAATCCAACAATAACTAAATAGTCCGTAAATATACATATACATATAATCACACTACAGGACTCTCACTGGACTACAGGCCCGTCTCAACCTGACTAGTAGGCACCATGCAAAACACACACGAAGTGGGCATGACTACCTAGACCTAGCAGGGTACACATCTAACCATCATAGCCAGCTATGCATCCCAATGCATATACGCTTCCTAACCAACGACTCTGAGACTCAGGCCCATATCGTGGCACCATAAAAATATATTTAAATTCCGTTCCAAACCAGAAGTGTCACTCAACTATTTAGTGATCTGACACAACATACAGGTAGAACTTAACTTTTATAGTTAATCCATCCCTCAATCCATAGTAGGTAGGACTTAGCATTTTTGAGCTAATCCCCCTAGTATGACACCGTCCCATACCGGTGCATACAATCCATCCATCCAGTTGATAATATAAATGACAGTAAATATCAACGTATCCAATCTAAGCATAACAAGAATGTTTAACTAGCATGCTTGTTTAATACCTCCAGTATATGATTCTCTGACAAGTTTTAAATACAGAGAACAAATATAACGATCCTGTAACTCACAAAGACATAACAATAATATTAACAGCAATTGCATGCTTCCTTGTAATACTTCACAACATCCCCCAAGTTGACATAAACAATTTTAGATCAACATTAATTAGTTTCTTATTAAGCATTAAGTGTAATTATATTAGTCGACATGCTTAATCCCACACCACTGTTTCATGATCTAAACATAAACTTCTTAATTCAGTTACCAAGTAACTTGAATTATCTGTAATAAAGTTGTTACATAAACTTCCCTAAGTGTCGTAAACATCAATTAATTCCCCGTTAAGCATAACTGACATTATATAATTTGAGATGCTTACTCCAATACCACGGTCATATGATTTACACATAAAATTCCTAATTCAATTACTACTTTTAAAGCAAGCAACTTGAATTATCCGCATCACCGTAAAACTAATCGCTTCCTAAGAGTCTTCGTGTAATACCCCGATAATTTTAAAAGATTTATTAATTAGGATTAATTATTTTATTTTATTTTTCAATGATTTATTTTATTTTATTGAGTGCTAGATTAATTATCTTATTTTAATTAAGTTATATTTCGTGATTATGTATGATGATTGATTGTTTGTGTGGTTGATTATTGATTGAATTATTGGTGTGTTGATTTTGTTGGTATTATATGACTTAGTTGTAAATTCTTGTTTGTTTATGTGCTTCATGTAATTAGTTATTTTAATTTCTGTATTTAATTAATTATCTTATTTATTTAAATTAATTGGATTGGGCTTAAGGAAAGTTGGACCAAAAGATGTGGTCTTGGGCTTGTATGAAACCTTATTGGGTTAATTAATGAAGGTCCGTGGTTATTTAATTATTTAAATGATCACTTTTGTATCAATTATATTTATATATATATATATATATATATATATATATATATATATATAATTATATATAAATATAATTAATTAATAATTGTTATGGAAAGATATATATATAGATATATATTTATTGATATTTATAAGTATATATGATTTAATTAACTAATGAGTTAATTATGGAAGGAATATATATTTATATATAATATATGTTTACAGATATAAATTATTTAAAGGTTATTTCTTTAATTCATAATACTAGTTGGAATAGGATTTATAAGTATATATGATTTAATTAACTAATGAGTTAATTATGGAAGGAATATATATTTATATATAATATATGTTTATAGATATAAATTATTTAAAGGTTATTATTTTAATTCATAATACTAGTTGGAATAGGATTTGGAATTTAAGGTGTATAAAAATACACATAAGGCTTTAGGGTTAAAGGTTTTACACGTTAGAAAAATAAAACAGACAGAGAGAGAGGAAGAAGAAGGGCTGACAAGGAGGAGGTCGGATTTGAAAAGGAGGACGTCGGAATTGGAAGAGATAATTAAAGCTTAAAGCGTCGGTTTCGTTTCGAAACCTTCAGGCGAGTTCTTCTCTAACTTTCCTCTTAGAACTCATAAGGATTTCACCTTGAGTATCAAAATTTAAGATTAAATTTATTGATTAAATGATGGTTAGAACGGAATCTTAAAAATATGAATTATTATATTTTATTTTTGGAATTTTAGATTTTTATTGTTTTATATATGTGTTGTATATTTTGTTTACATCAATCGATAGGCTGGATCTAGACCCAAGAGGGTTAATTAGTGTTTCTAGCATTTATGAGAATTTTCTGGAATTTTTAGATTAATTTTAGAATGTGTTTTATATTTTTTGGAATTATTCAAGAATTATTTTCTATCTTAATTTGGCAAAATTATATAGATAATTTATAATATATATATATATATATATATATACACAACACTGGAGGCGGCGTTTGTAAGGTGGGCGCAACAATAGGGTAGTAATCTGGTGTAGGACGGTGCATGGTAAGAGGTTACACCACTAATCTGGGCCATTGGAATAATTTAGATATAATTGGAATGATTCGGTGCATTGCGGTGTACACAAAAGAGTGCACATGTGAATCTGGACCATGGATTAAGTTTGGTCAACAGAAGATTGATCTGGTGTGGGTGCATACATGTGAGCTCAAGTGAGCTAATCTGGTGTGGGTGCGTTTGTGTGAGCTCAAGTGAGCTAATTAAGTGTGGGCGCGCTCACAGTAGTGTTTGAGCTCAGCCAATTATTTTGCCTGTTTGTGACATAAAATTAAAATGGTCATAATTTAGTCATTTTAAATCGAAACTGGGTCATTCTTGAGCTCAAATTCAAGGATTTTTCGTCTTCTTTCCAATGGTACCAATTTCATTATCAGATTCCCATCCTACTAGGAGATATTTATGTTTTAGTGAGAAAGTGTCGGAAAACTATTTAAACCAATATGGAGTATTTAAAGGAAACTATTTCTGACATATTTAGTTGCACTAATTTGTGTAAATATAATAAATTAATAATTTGTTATGGAAGGAAGTGTATATATATATATATATATATATATATATATATATATATATATATATATAATTATTTATATATGTGTATATATAGTTTAATTTGTCTATGAGTTGTATGGAAGGATGAATATAATTATTTATATATGTGTATATATAGTTTAATTTGTCTATGAGTTGTATGGAAGGATGAATATATATATATATATATATATGTATATTGATTTTAAATAATTAAGGATTATTAAAGAAGGTGTTAAACACATATATACATTAAATAACATATGTGTAGG